CTGCCTAGGCTTGGGCGATGCGTCCAAGCCTTCTGGACTGCCTAGGCGGTCGCCTAGGCGCTGGGCGGTCCGCTTTTTTGAACACTGAGACCATATAACATGGAGTGTCAAGGCACATGGTTGGAAATCATTTTTTTCAGATGATAGATTTAGGCAGCTTTTTCCTAGTTCTTGCCTTTGTGGTTCCATGTACAATCTTTGTACTCTTTCCTTGAATTCAACTCTTAGTTCCACACTAAACAAAATTTAACCACTACCATAAATGATGTTGTGATCCTTGTCCTGTATCATTTTAGTATTTATACACAAGTCCAATCATTATCATTTTAAATAGTACACAATGTGTCCAATGTATCGTCATCATCATCATTGGAGCCTTTTGCCAACTATTTGTAAAGAGGGAGGTCTGCTGCTCCCTAGCCTTCACAAGTTCACCCTGTTAGTCATACATGGCTGATTTCCTCCTTTACTGAAATCTTTCAGAGAACCCACCAAACCTTCCACTCCACTCTTTTCTTGTACTGCCAGACTGTATGATACTCACTCCTACTTCATTAGACCTAGTCCAGATTCAAGAGCAGCCCACCTTTATCCTAGTTACAAAACTACCAAACAGAACCAAAGCCTCAAAGACTGTTCTCCCCCCTCCTATGTAACCAATGCACACACCCTGAGTTGATATACTACCAAACGCCTTGCCCCAACCATTTCAACTATTTGCATTTTGCGTTGACCAATAGACCTCCCTGCACCCAGCCGAATAATCCTAATTATGAAGGTGTCTCCTATGTGGGGATCGAGGTCCCTAACAGCAGGGATTGAGATCCCGGAAGTTAAAAATTGAGATCATTTGAAGATCCCTTTACTGAAATGCAGGTTTGAGATTCCGGAGCGGGATTGCCACCTAGGTTGGGAGATTCCAGTAACTATGGTAGAACATGTATGATATAAACATGACATTGGATTCTACTCAAGGAAGACTTGTTTTGAAAACTACTGGCCATTGGTTTCTAGTAGACTCATTCTTGTTGGAGCTGTTTGGGTTCACATATATTTTTGGCTGGAATGATATTTCTAGTTCACTGGAAATGGGCATCTATAGACAAGATTGAGTTTCAATTGGAATAGAGTTTGGTGTCTGGTAGACTGGTACTGTTACAGAAGAATTTCTGGTTGACTAGACTCAAATTTTTGAAAAAGTTCGGGAGATACTTTCAAATTCTTTTGTATTGTTCTCATGTACTGGTGTTCATTAGGATTGGTATATTTTTGGTTGATTTGAAACTTTTTGGGCAAGAACATGACCTTGGGTAAAACAAATTAGGACTTCTCTTAAGTATACATTTATAGAACCAGTAAGGGCATCTAGCTAGGCCTGGGTACCATTTTGCACAAAGATGGTCTTTATTATGTGCAAGGCCTAGGTTAGCAAGCTGGGCATTTGGATGTTTGAGGAAATACTAATAGAGACCAAACAAAAGATTCTTTTAAGTTGGTAACATTCTGTATAATTTGCTTAATGTGTCCTGTGGAGAATTTTGCCAAATGAATGAATGTAAAAAATTATGATGTGGCACCTTTTCAAACAATCTCACTACCAACTGGGAGCATGACATGACACTTGGGTTTAGTAGTGAACCTTGGTGATGTGTCTTGGTTAATAATTTTTGAAGAAATGCCTTATATATCCAAGAAGACATAATATACTCAAAACCCTTTTTGGACAAATAGTTCTATTAAAAAGTAAAAATGTCAGGAAAGAGCTGTAAAGTTGGTGACTAAAGTGCACTGCACAACTGTAATGTGAAAGCTCATAGATCCATGCCTGGATATCCACAACTTGGTCGATGTTTCTACCACCATTTTGGCTTCTCATCATTCAGATATATTTATTGCATCATTTGGCTATAATGAATATATTATCTTTGCAAACGATGGGTGAGTATCTAGGGAGGAGAAATGAGAGGAGATTTCCAAGTAAATTTGGTTAGGAGGAAGGATGCCCCCCCCTCCCCCCCACAAAGAAAATGGTCTTTATCCTTCCTGTGGAAGTAAATTTTTTTTTTCCATTGAAGCTTAGATTTTTCTATGGGTGTGGGTATGGGTGGTCAAATGAGGGCTGCAATCTTCTGTTAGTGCTGCTTCAACATCATTATGAGTAGATTATGGAAAGGGAGAAATAATCAGATTTTTATTAAAGCCAGTTGAATGAGATTTGGTGACCATGATGGTCTAGAAGGGTGGGATGTTGTAAGCATTCCAATGACCGGTATTGGACGGCTGAAGATGATACATGTTTAGGAGAATAATTAAAGATGTTATTGGATGGCTGAAGGTGATACATGTTAGGAGTTATGGGTAAAAATAATTAAAGATGTTACATAGCTTGTATCAACCCACAAGTAACCTTTCAGATCATTAACATAAACAAGGTTTTAAAAACTCACAAAATCAATCAATTTTGGATGTTTCTAGGGCATAGGAAGAGTTTTTATAATATTTGTTGGGGGGAAGAGGGGGGGGGTGGGATCTAACCCACTCTTTATGGGTCAAAATGGCCCCACAAAAAAAAAAAAAATTTCTGCCATTTTTATGTAAGGTATGGGACACCCACCCAGAACTGGGCGTTGGATGCCCACCTAGTGCGCTTGGGTGAGCGCCTAGGAACTTCCACACCGGAGGGCCCAACCAGGCTTATGACACTTTTTTTGAAACAGTGAACATAAATATTGATGAAAATTCTGAAGGACTTAGAAGGTTTCATAGAAGTGATCTATAGGAAAATGATGGGGGAAGGGCCCTGAGTAACCTGACCATCAACGGGTGGCTTCATGTGGACCTGTAACTTGGGAGTGTGGCCCATAAAATGTCATTGAACAGACCAGACGGGATTCCTTAATCCCATGAAAGCTTGGAGGAACTTTGTGGAGATATTCGTGGACCATCTTTTTGTATTTCTAAGGCATGGTGTGTGCCCAGAGTAGCTAATTTCGTGTCTCATTATTTGTCAAACTTGATATAAACAGAGGACGAGGTGATGCTGTTGGACTTATACTATGTTAATCTGCTTGAGCCTTTCTTGTATTTACTATTTCCTAACAATGCCATACTGAGTATTCATCGACTCGGGTAAGTTGATATGGAACCTGACACTTAGACTTGGTTGCCTGCGAAGTCTGGAACACCCCTGACGCAGCGGAATATAAAGAACTTTTTTCTTCTTTTCCATTTTTTGGCAAAAGCACCCCAATTTTAGTCCAAATTTCATCCCCAAAGGCCCCCCCACACCATATACACACACACACGCACGCACGCTCACAGATCATAGATATATATATATATATATATATATATATATATATATATATATATAATA